TTGCCTCTCCAATAGCCAGCAACTTTTCTGTGTCCTGCACATCTGGTTCTCTCAGATACTCTGCCCCAAACACCTGCACCATGGTGCGGGCAAACCTCACAATAGCTTTCAGGCATGTGCTCTCCCCATCCGGACCATCTCACCAACGGCATCGGCGGTAGTACCAAGTGCAAGCATCCTCAGCGCAGACGTGCATTTCTGCTTAGCGGAGAAAAAAAGTTGTCCGCATCACGCAATCCCTAGTGAGCTTGAAATAGTCATTGTGTGCCTCCACTCCCTCCACAAAGTGGAAAACAATGGTTTGCACATACGAGAAAACGGCGATGAAACCATGTATCATCACGAAAAGCTGGGTCCGGATCAAAGTAATCCTTGTAGAGTAGCCGTGCTCAAAAGACCCTATCTCGATTAATAACTCACCCATTAATTAAAGAATATGCTCCACATGCCGGTCTATTTCCTTTTGCATGCTCATATGCATGATCATGTCCACTTTTTCGTCTGAATCTGTAGAATCGAAGAACTCATTTCCAATCATTTTATCTAGCTCTGTGGGTCCATACTCCTCCTCTGACGAAGCATCAGAATCCATCGTTTTCCCTACGAATAAATCACAAAATACCTGATCGGACAACGTGTCGAACACATGGAGGGAAATTTGCATCCCGGAAGTTGCCGGACATACCGCGGCGGCTTATGGGCCGGTGACGACGTGTGCGGCGGCAAGAATAGATGAGAAGACTGCAGTGCCGATGCTGGTGGCACTGAGGCTCGGAACAACAACAGAGGAGTGAGTGACGGCGGAGCTACGAGAAGGTCGGGGCAGACGAGGAAGAACAGAGAAGAGTAGTAAATGGAATCGGTAGGTCGACGGGTGGTTTTGGTGCAATTTGTGATGGGTTTGAACTGTCGGGCCCGGCGTGGCGGCCGGACCAGGCCACCCCATACCCGCCCTGGATTTGGGCTAGATATGAGGGTTACCGGTTAGCCCGGTCTTTTGAGGCCCGTTTGAAACGCGTGTCTAGGTCGGGTTTTTTTTTACCGGTCACTGACCGGGCCATCCGCTCGGGCATTTAAGGGATGTTGGAGTCGCGGGGCTGTAGACTCTACAGTATTTATGTTCTCGTCGCACTACCATACAGAAATATATTTGTATAGCCTTTCTTTTTTCACATGTCAGTTACACTACCACACAAAAATCTCTTTGTTTAGCCTTTCTATTTTCACATGTCAGTTGCACTACCATACACATTTTCTTTTTTTGCTAAGCCTTTCCTATTTCACACGGCAGTTACATTACCCTACAAAAATCTGTCTGCTTAATCAGCCTAGAAGCAAAAGAGAAATAACACTCAAAGAAATTCGGAGCAGCAAGGAAATCCGTGTGCTGCTACGACGAGTATATAACAAGCCCCCCTCCCCCCTCTCCTCTGCATCATTCATCATACAATCCAGCTCGAAGGTTTTCATCTACCACACACACACAATCCTCCTGATCTTCCCCAAGAAACCGCGATGGGTCGTCTGTCCGTGAAGGTCTTGGTGGTCGTCCTGCTGCTCCTTGCGGCCACAGGTACATATGCTCGGAGTTGATGGTTGTTGACTGATCTTTACTGCACTAGTGCTAAGATTGTGTGAGATGACGACGGATCTGCTTTGTTGATTGATTTTGGGTGTCCAGAGGAGCAGGGGGGATCGGTGCAGGTGGCTCTGGCGAGGGTGTGCACGAGGCCGAGCCACAAGTTCCATTGGGCATGCCTCGACACCAACAAATGCGCGAGCGCCTGCCTGACCGAGGGCTACACCGGCGGCAAGTGCGGCGGCCGCCGCGGCCGCCGCTGCTTCTGCACCTGGCACTGCTAGATGTTTCGGCTCTGACCGATCTGTTCTTGCATAAAACATGCATGCTTCCGTGTGATGATAGCTGAACGGTGCCACGGTGGTACATCTATCTATATATCTATGTATGTGTGCGTGCATGGATCTCCGAGAGCTAGCTAGCTGCTCGTCGGAGATTACATGAATGAATAAAGAGAATCGCATGCGCATCGTCTTGTGAGGAATATCTCATGTCTGCTTCCCCCATTTTGACCCTGGAGTGAATGAATATATGTTCACTACGACCTTATTACTCCTTCGGTAAAGAAATATAAGAGCGTTTAGATCTAAACGCTCTTATATTTCTTTACGGAGGGAGTACTGGTAATGACATACTGGGCACACATGGATCGACGCAGCCAATGGATCAAGCTACATCAACAGGGAATTCACTTACGGATTTAACGGTCTATTAACGTGGACCAATAGGATTCAAGATTAGGGGAGGAACTGGTCCGCCCCAGCTGAAGTTCAGGGAGGAGAAAGATTAGTTTAGAAGGGGATTCTGTAAAACGTCCGCAATGAGTCCGCGCGTCTCGGATTATTGCAGCCAATGTGCCCAGGTTCCACACTTATTGACAAGTGCTGATGTCCATCTAACAATTGGTTCCACACTTATTAACAAGTTATCGGTGAATTGGATTTGCGTCAGCCTCTCAAGCTTCCTCTAGCTTGCGTCAACCCATTTCTTCTAGATGCTCTTGCATCCAGGGACAAAGCTTGGAAAAATGGGCACCTGTGTCAACATATGCCCACTACAGCACATCACAAAGTATAGTGAAAGGATATAAATTACATCTAATTAAGGGCAATACAAAAAGCAAAAATATGCAATGATTCAATCATATAAATTTTATCATATTAAAAAGATTGCCATACCAAGTATTGGTTGAGCGAAGTCATAAAACCATTTGTTTACATATTCACGAAAGAAAGTAAACAACGATGACTTCTGAGCACATTTCATTAGTAACTTACTGAATAGGATGAACAAACGAAACATATTATTATATTAACAACAATGGTGCAGAACAAATAATACATAAAATAAATATCATTAAGCAAAAATATGAAGCAATGTGAGACTGACATTTGATAACTTCCCTTCTTGAACTTTCATCTTCTTGAGTTGATCAATTACAACATCATTCATAATGGTAGAAATATATCTTTCTCCATATAGCAAATCAAGCAATCACTCATGAACTGGTCACCTATTTTGTTACTTTTGACAATATTCATTGCTGAAAAGCATCTCTCCATCACCCGCAGAAAAAAAGCATCTCTCCATGGATTGATGTGGCAAGTGGCAAAATTAGCACCAACTTTAGAAGTCGATACCAAATGAAAAGCAAGATGTTTCTTAGTGTCCACCAGCATTAGCAAAATGGGCACTGCCATCCAAATTGGCAAACCGGCAATGTATTTGTCCGTGGACTAGTTCAGTCCGCGGACAGTGATGCGGGAGTCGCCCATCGAACCATGTTCCCTGAATGTCCGCCTCTGTTTTTTTTTTAAGTCTGGAATACTCAAAATAATAGCATATGAAATCTTTGATTAGCGAAAATATTCAATGCGAAGGTAGTTCTAATTTAAATATTACAATCCAACTAAATTTTCAGGTAAAATAGTTCAAATTTGAATTAAACTCACACGAATGTAGATGACATCTTGCTTCTTTCCCCAACCATTGTAGGCAGGCGTTTCGCGAAGCGAACTTCTGCCTCCTTCCGCAGGCGAGGCTGCGGGTCCTTGACCCCTCCGTCCGTCGCTCCGGCGGCGGGAGGGGCCTGGGACCCCGGCGATTTCGCTCCGGCATGTAGTTAGGTTAGGCCTAGTCTTCCTTGGAGGCGTCGCATCGGTGGCGAGATCGATGCCGCGTCGGAATAAGATGGTCCTGCTTCTCCCCCACCCAGTGATGCTTCAGATCTGATGTGGATGGTGGTTTGCACCCGTGTCTCGCCGGATTTCAGATCTGACGACGTCATTTGGTTGTGCTAGCCGGTGTTCATCGCTCTTCCCGGAGAGGACGTTGTTTAGTACTAGGTATGTTGCTGTTTTGGAGCATGTGATGTGGATGGTGGTTTGCGGTGGCGTCTTTCTTCTCCAACCTGAGTGGATGAAGGAGACGGTGCCGGGATCTGACGGGCTTGGGGATGATCCGCGGTCGACGAGCCACATAGCCTCGGCTCCGTCACATGCGGCAGACCGTTCATTCGACTCACCTAGCAGCATGGTCTGCATCAGAGTTCTTTCAGATTTAGGAGTGATGGTTGCTCTCGTCCATCTCCGGCGTTGCCATGGCGATGATGGAGTCCGACGATGCTTAAGGGATTGGATTTGCACAGGGATCTTCATTGGTCAAATTTTTTTCTTGGGGTCCTTTGTGCAAAGCTCTAGGACAATTGTCTATGTGTTTGTCTTATGGAGCGACCATGTGTGTACACCCTGTAAGTTATTTGTTGAATGAACATGTGGTAGTTCCTCTCAAAAAAAAAAAAACTCACACGAATGTTCTAGGTATCCCCTTTAACCGCACAGATACTCGATGAGATATTCAATCGGATCTTCCTTGATATGTTCATGAGTTGCTTAATGCAGAATTTGTTAATGCATTTGGACAAACTGATCAAATGTGACCGGATTCTAATGTGGAAGTTGGATAGGACCACTCATGTTCTTGAATTCTAGACCTCCGGCAGCATCTTCACCCTCATCCTCCATGATCATATTGTGTATGATCATCACCTCCCACAGGGTCTACAGATCTCATTGTTTACCAGGTTCACGAACAATTGCAAAATGGGTTGGAGCACTTCGGATGCCCTCTCCACATTCTTTCTAGTTCCTTGAGCTTGTCTCTGACCAACTGTATTTTGGTATGTTCGCAGCGAAACCATCTTTACGACACAAATCTTTTACACTACTCATGGGAGATCATGCATGATTATACATACAACTACAGTACACGCCTCCAGCATGAAACTGATGAGCAGCTAGGTCCTGCCAGTTCACCACCAAGTCACAGCAACAAAAAACCTATCTTCATACTACCAATTGCCTCGAATCGACCAGGAGGCACATAATACATGTACATATCCTCGCCGAGGCGTCGACACTTGTCAGCGATAAAAGCTTGCCCTTGGGCACAGTTTCTCCACGGACCCATCCGGCGGCCCATCCACCTGGCGCAGCTTGATCTCGTAAAGCTTTGGCCACAGTTTCCCGGTCACTGCGAGTAGAGCCGAAAGGTTAATTGGACAAGAAACCCAGAGGCCTTGATCCACGGGACCGAAACTGCAAGTGCAAAAGGACTCACCGAACAGTCTGTCATTTTCTTCATCCCAAGCTATACCATTTAGAACATCAATATCCTGGAGCATGAAACAGAGTTTTCAGTGTCATGTCACTCCCGATACTGGATTTGGATTATGTGCGTCTAACAATGCAATTAGCCAATGAACCATATGGGGACTGCTCACCGTGTTGCCAGATTTCCATAATTGCTGCCTGCAAAATTGAGGACACAAGGATCGATTATTACTTCAAATGCAAACATTACAGGCAAACAGAGTAATCTTGTGAAGAAACTCAGTGGTCAGGAAATAGGCATAGAACAACAACAGTGATTTCTACTCAGAGCATACCTCAGCTCATGAAGAAAGATCCAGCTCGCCACTTGGCCATCTTCATGAGAAACTCTAGCTATGCAATCTGTCTACACATCATAACTTTCGATACTGAGAGGTGCACTTCACAACATTCTAGCAAATTGGTAGGCAGTTCACATTGTATATGATACTTGAATATGATCAAACTTTGCATGGAAAACACAGCTAAGACACAAATGATATTAGCTAGTCATGCTAAGACCTCGGTTACCTAATCGCCAAGTCAAATGGCGTTAGCTAGTCATGTCTTGTAGAAGATATAAAAAATTCAGACCAGTTAATTGTAATATCAATTGCCTATTTCAGAGTATCAAGTGTAACAAAGGACAACACAGGATAAAACTTGGATACACTTCAGTACAAACTGAGTCACACCCCAAAGTTAATTGTTAAACTTAAACCTCATAAATGACACCAGGGTGCACTTTAACATCAACGCTAAGGTATACTAATGAAAATGTTCTGGTCCTTGAGATCTTGAACAATATAATAAAACATGAAAGCAATATGGTCAAGGTAGTGCATAACAACTCTAACCTGCCAGACATTTGCCCATACTTCACCATTTATATATTCCAGTTCATTAATATAGGAAACGTCATTGTCTTGATATTTCACAGTTACTGTCTTTGTTACTGTATCAACAGAGACATCAAACAAAAGAAATTAAGTCCGAAAGCTAACAGAATATCAAGTGTGTGATTAACTTAATGTACCTTCAAGCGATATTGGATCCAGGTGGTACAACCTTGAAGTACCATCACTGCCAAATAGGATTTTTCTATCCGTAGCCAACCCCCACCCGTCACGCATTTTATGGGTAAAACTTTCACGCTGCAGCAGAGAGCACAATAACTTGTTACCTCAGACGTCGACAAGAAATGACTGAAAAACTTGAGAAATGACCAGTAAAATGCGATGTGAATGATTGTAAACCCATATTTCAGAAGATCACATGAAAATAGATATTGATAGGTCAGGGTTTGGAGATAATTAGCCGAGACTATAAACAGAAAAGATCTGAATCATCTGTAAATACACTAACATAGAAACAGGGGCAGCAGCATTACTTTGCTAAAGTTATGTCGGTCGTATATGAATCCATCATTCTTCAACCAAGTAACTTGAAACAATCTACAAAAGATAATATTAAAGCAAATGAATGAGATTTAACAGGACCGCAGAAGCAAATAGAGCCATCATGTTCAAGAAAGCAATTCTCATGTCGGGCATAGTCGAGGTTCATCTACCTGTCGTCGAGAAGTGTTAAGCCTTCTCCAAACATATGTCCATCCATTTGGTGCTGATCTAAAACCTGATAAATGACAAAGCAGTAACTAGTGATTTAGTGTAGGGTAGGTGAACCATTGCCGCGCAATGTTAAATAAGGAGAGTGCCATATTTAACATACTTTGCCAGTTTGAAGATCAACCTTTCGGACCGACGACTGTTCAGAAACAAAATTAGAAGCATTTAGTCCTTCAGAAAAACTAGTCCTTCAGAAAAACCGCTTGACAGAAAGCAAGCAAAAACGAAACAAATGCAACTTGCAAGCTCAGGCAACAGATCCTCAACAGCTCATATAGTGATAGCCAGTCTGCTTGTTTCCACTAGGGAGGCATGAATACCAAGGTTCACAATTCAAGTGAAACTAGATGTAGTTTATTGTGGAAAAACCACGGACGTAGTATTCCTTAGCATATCACATTTGCATCACTGTAATCCACGAGAAGATTTCCACATTGCATTGCATTACATTACCTGGTGATAAAGGCCAGTGGACTCGAAGAGAGTGTCGTTTCCCGCGTACAGGAGACCCTGCCAAAGAACGAAAAACACGCAATCTGAGGAAAAAATTCCCCATGGGAGAGGAGAGGAGCGAATGAGATCAGGAGGGATGCGTGCCTGGGTGAAGGCCTCGGGGTCGTGGGGGTACTCGCGGACCAGGTCGAAGGAGTAGAACCTAGCGACGGCGGGCGCAGGGCGGCGGAGGAGCGCGGCGCGGAGGTAGTCCGGGCGCCAGACGGCGGCGGCCGCGGCGAGGAGGAGGAGCGCCGCGAGCGCGGCGCCGGCGGCCGCGATGGCCGGACGGCGGAGGCGCCGCGGCGCCGGGGAGGCGTTGGGGGTGGGTACGGACAGGGCGATAGGCGCCATTGAGGAGGCGGGCCGCCTCCGTCGGGAGCCGGCGGTCATTTGGGTCTGGTTTAGTCGCAGCAGAAAGGGTCAACTGTAATTCTCAGTTTAGCGTGCTTCTCCTGTGATTTGTAGGAGTATTTAAGATTGTCTTCCAAATTTCTTGGCTGAAAATTTGGACATTGGAATGAATGTCTATTTTGAAATCTTTTTGATTTTTTTTCATACAACATCGTGATTTCATTTTGCGATGCGTGTCTTCGTGCATTGCACTTGACGCCAATGTTTCGTTCTTCAAGCCATGGTGTGAATATAAGAATGTGTGATGACCATTTTGGTTGTGCACATGGACAATTCCCAATTAAATATTTGGAAATACCAATTCATTATCGACGTCTCACCATTGCGGAGTGGAAGCATGTAGAGGAGCGACTAGAGAAACGCTTGAGCAGCGGGAAAGGCAAGTTGGTCTCGGTTGGAGGACGATTGATTTCAATAAACTCTGTCCTCACAAATATGGTTCTCTATATGCTTTCGTTCTTCCCGCTCCCAAAAGGGGTCTTGCAAAGATTGGATTATTTTAGGTCCACGATCTTTTGGCAAGGAGATGGTGAAAAGAAAAAAATATAGGTTGGCCAAATGGAGTGTGGTTTGTAGGCCGAAACAGCAGTGCGGCCTCGGTATTCATGACCTGCAGGTCAAGAATGAGGCCCTACTTAGTAAATGGTTGTTCAAACTTCTTACTGAGGATGGTGTTTGGCAAACCATGATGCGCAATAAGTATATAGGCCAAAAGGCAGTGTCTCAGGTATATTGGAAACCTGAAGACTCACACTTTTGGGCCGGCCTAATGGCGGCAAAGAAACATCATGCTCTTAATGCTTTGTATCACTTTGATGCTACATTTTGAGATAATAAAAGCGCCCTTTATCGAAAAAAGAATGTGTGATGATTATATATTGATAAAAAAATTAGGACGATGTCTATAAACGAAGAAGTTGGGAACTTCTTCCGCAACAAACGAGGGCTTTCCCCCGAAAAAAACGAGGGCTTAGGTAGGGTGACCCTTCCTCCCCTCTTATTTTCAACTTTGTTGCGGACGCCCTCTCGGCCATGATCACTAAGGCGAAGGATGTCGGCCACATCCGCGGTGTCGTCCCCCACCTTATTCCAGGAGGGGTCTCTCACCTTCAATACGCGGACGATACCATGCTGCTCTTCGAGCCGGAAGATCACAGTATTGCCTCGATTAAGCTCATCCTCCGTGCTTTCGAGATTGTATCCGGCCTCAAGATAATTTTTCTCAAGAGTGAGGTGATAGCCATTGGGATGGCCGCACCTCTCTCATTGCGCGTTGCCAACCTACTGAACTGTAAGCTTGGGAGCTTTCCGTCTAAGTACTTGGGCCTCCCCATCTATGACAAGCACATATCTATCCGAGAATGGGAAACCCTATACGGCAAGGTGGCGAACCGGGTCAGTCCATGGCGAGGCCGGTTCATGTCTTCGGCAGCTAGGCTCATTCTAACGAATACTAGTCTCTCCTCTTTGCCCATGTTTACAATGGGCATGTTCCTCCTAGCAGACGGTGTTCACGCCAAGCTCGACACCCCCTGATCCAAGTTTTTTTTGGGAAGGAACTGGGTCCAAAAAGAAGTAGCACTTAACTAAGTGGGCAGCCCTATGCCGGCCAAAGAAATTTGGTGGCCTAGGGATCCTCAATTCCAAACTTATGAGCGTTGCCCTTCTCTCCAAGTGGCTCTGGAAACTCGCCCAAAATGAGCAGGGGCTCTAGGCGGAAATTCTGAGCGAAATACTTCCCCGACGGGAATTTCCTTACCTCCAAGGCTAAAGGGGCGAAATTCTGGAATGGGATCTAGGCTATCAAACCGGCCTTTGCGCTAGGAGCTAAGCTTAGCGTTAACGACGGAAAATCCACGCGATTTTGGTTAGACCACTAGTTCGTTCAGGAGCCATTGTGGCGTAGCCACTCCTCCATATACCAACTTGCTACTAACATCGAAATCCTCGTTACCGATGAGCTTAGAACCCACCTGCCAGCCATTACTTTCAAAAGCCCCCTTTGAGACGCCGAACAGGCTGTTGGGATGAGTTACATAACGCTCTTGTTGTAGTGGTGTTGCGACCCAAGGCTGATACGGTCTCTTGGTCCCTCACGAGCTCCCGGAAATTCACGGTTAAGTCTCTTTACCATAAGTTGACGGAGGGTCGTACACTAGACATTGCTAGGGGGCTATGGAAAGTGTCAACCCCCCTCAAAATTAAAGTTTTCCTTTGGAAAATGTTCCACGACCGCCTCCCGTCCTCTAACAACATAGCGAAACAAAATGGGTCATCCCGATAGCAATTGTGTGATGTGTGGTGCGCACAAGGATGCAAACCACATCTTCTTCAATTGCCATCTTGCTCGCTTTGCTTGGAGTGCGGTCCGGTGAGCCTTTGATCAAAACTGGAATCCCCACTCGGGTAGAAACCTCCGCGATATACTATTGGCCCATAGGGGTGGGTTCGGTCGAGTGCTTTGGAGATGCGTAGGGGCACTTTTATGGGCTCTATGGACTACTAGAAACAAAATCACAATAGAGCACAAATTCCCTTATCACCCCGCTGACATTATTTTCAAATGACATTTGTTCCTCCAGACTTGGATGCCGTTGGGAAAACGGCGGACGCTGAGCGGATGCAGGAGGCGATGGAGCGGATTCGACTGATCCAGATTGCTGCCCGTCACTAGATGTTGAGGATCGTTTCTGCTCCTGCCGGTGTTGGCATGTTTAGACTTTTGCCTTATCATTCTCAGGCCTAGGCCGGTTGCATGTTCAAACTAGGGCTTTGGATGCATTTCCTTTCCTTTTGTTTAAGACTGTCTTGTTTGTTGGATGTTGCCTGTTCATGGGCTTTATTAAGTTAAAGTCGGACGCTCCTTTGTAAGTGCATCTAGTGCCCCTTAGTGATTTTGGTGTATTGAAGACTTATAGGTTAAGGGACTGATGCGTTTGTGAGTGTACACAGGTCTATAAGTCTATAAGGAGTTTGATATTTAGAGTGAAAGTCGACCCCTAAAAATGAAGTTCTTCGACTAAAGACTTTGGACTTTCTGAAGACTTTGAAAGTGAAGAAATTGGTGTGATCCTGAAATCTTGGTATTCATTTGAGGAACATGAAGCATGAAGACTTTTGTTTTCGTAGTTTCTTTTTCTCTTTCTTGAGTCATAGGAAACACTGTACTGTTAAAGGGGGTCGAGGAAATACTAAGAAAAAATTTCCAAGTGACGCTCAACTCAAATCCCACACCTACCAATCCCTTCGAGTGAAGCCATTGGAAATCTCATACAGCTCAGTCAATTTCTTCAGTGACAGAGACGAAGTTCTTCTAGTCTCTGAGGAATTTGTTCTGATTGAGGAGTTAGGAATTCGCTAGTGCGGATTGCCTACATAGTGAGGAACATGATAGGCCTGAGGAATTGGATACTCAAAATTCCGACCGTTGTTGTGCTATGCGCCAGCTGTCCCAAAATATCTACCCACTTAACGGTCATATCATTGAAGGGCATTTATGTATTATCATGTCGGGCTGCTCCCTAGGCTATAAATAGCCGCCCCCTACAACCACTAGCTGGTTGGCTGCTCTGAGAGAAACTGACACTTGTCATTTGAGAGTATCCCATCCTCCGAGGACTTTGAGTAAAAATCATCAAGTGAGGAAAAACCCAAACCCAAACACCTACAAACCCAAAGTGATTGAGCATCACTGAAGAAATTGATCCTGCGTGGATCCGACGCTTGTTACCTTTGAAGACTGTGCATCTTCCAGACGGTTAGGCATCATGGTCTAGAGCATCCAAGAGGAAATTGTCGATCGCCGAGTGACCGAGTCTATGAAGGTTTGGAAGTCACCTGAAGACATACCACGAGTAATTGGGCGAGCTCTGTGTGGCCTTAGCTCAAGGGGGAATACGGTGAGGACTGAGTGTCTTGAGCTGCATGTTCAGGACTGGGTGTCCGGGACTGTGTGTCCTCAGATTTAAATAGCTAGCCACCCTAACCAGACGTACAACTGTCACAGCAGTTGGAACTGGTCTACCAAATCATTGTCTTCACCAAGCTACCTGGTTCCATTTCCTCAACCCTTTCATTTCCTCATTTCTGTGTTGTGTGCTTGTTCATATTTGTTTGAAGACTTTGACTGAAGAACTTCTCAATTTCCTTAGTTCAATTTCTTTAGTCTATTTGTCTTTGTTTTGTTATCCTGTATTTACGCTTTCTGTACTATGTGTTTGTTTTCATTTCTTCATGAAGACCATGCTCATGCTCTGTTATGTTTACTTCTAAGTACTTATTCCGCTGCAAGTAGTTCTTCACCATGGAATTTCCTCACCCTGAAATTCCTCAGTGAAGAATTCATAAAAATCGCCTATTCACCCCCCTCTAGTCGATATAACGCACTTTCAATTGGTATCAGAGCAAGGTACTCCCTTGTTCTGTGTGATTTTGATTTAACCACCTGGAGTTTTAGTTATGTCCACTGCATGTATGATCAAGGTTTCTGCTGGGTGTCCTACCTTCGATGGGACGGACTACCCCTACTGGAAGAATAAGATGCGCATGCATCTTGAGGCAATTGATAATGATCTCTGGTACGTTGTGGAGAATGGTGTTCCCTCTGTCACTCCCACCATCAACGCTGCTGATGTGAAGAGATTTAAGCAACTCGACTCTCAAGCGAAGAATACCATATGTGGCCATCTGAGCAAAGGGCAGTATGGCAGAGTGAGTGCTTTGGAGACAGCTAAGCTTATCTGGGACAGGCTGTCCAATGTCAATGAGGGAGTCTCAACACAGCGTGACTCTCGAGTTGACGTTCTTCGAAATCTCTGCAACCGCTTGAAAAGACTCGACAATGAAAATGTTCAGCAAACCTTCGATCGCCTCACTGACATCTCAAAATGAGCTTCAAGCACTTGGTGCCACTGATATCACCGACCATGAAGTGGTGAAGAAACTGCTGAGATCGCTTGATTCCTCATTTGATACCTTGG